ACCGCCCCGTGTACCTGTGTGTGTGTGTGTGTGTGTGTGTGTGTGTGTGTGTGTGTGTGTGTGTGTGTGTGTGTGTGTGTGTGTGTGTGTGTGTGTGTGTATGTGTGAAAACACATTGCGTTGGAGTGTCACGGGCGAGGTTGGTTTGTGTCCCTAAGTTTGCACTTGTCGGCATCATCGTTCATCGGAGACGGTTGTATTACAACTTTTGCATGTCTTCATTTTTTGTTGTTGTTTTTTTTCGTTTTTTTTGTTTTGTAGTTCACTTCGTCTTCTCTTCACCATATTTGCGATGGTGGCACATTCACACGACCACAAGATCACGAAAGGGGAGAGACAGTCGTCGAGGAAGAACGAGGTCCGTTTTGCATGTGTTTTTTTGCACGCGGGACATGTCATGTGCGATCAATGATCGGTGTGCATTGATGTTGCCATTGTCGTTGTTGTGTGGTGTGTCATCTCAAACAAAACCGCCCGGTAAAACGTATGCAGAGAGGGAGAAGATGATATATATATATATATATATATATATATATATATAACTATTCTCATGTATGGAAAAAAAAAAAAAAAAACGTAAGCAAAAAAACACTAATTTTTTTTTTTTTGAATTATAAGAGAGGACAAAACAAGGACACGATATGCAACATGTTGAACTTCGTGTTGACAGTGGCAATTGGTTAATCTGAGGGATGTGTTGATTGGTTTGCCAATGGTTGGCTTATGCACGGTCCTTCCTTTCCCCTTGTACTTCGTCTCAGTGTATTGTTTTTGCTTTGTGGCCGTGCATGGTCCGTTTTCCTCCTCCTTGTCTTCACCTCTTTGCGTTTTCGCTTATGCATGTGTGTCATTGTGACAAACGGCGATGGGGGCACTCAACGTTCGACCTGTCATCCACATCGCTGCCCTTGTACGCAGGAGGTGATGCACAGGTGGGGCTTTCCTCCATCGTTTCGTTGTCTGTCCCTTCATAGGATTGCTTTTGCCCGCCTTTGCGCTACGATTCACAGTGCGACATGCGTACATATATATATATATGTATATAAATATATATATATATTATCACAAACAGAACTGCCCGGTAAAACCGTAGGCAGAGAGAGAGAAGAGGACAACAAACGAGGGGCTGTGACAAACTGTTTCGTCGGAGTTTCACCGACTCATCAGGAGGCTGAACCCTCAACAGTCTGCAAATGATAATCTACCTTAACCAAAATCAAAGTAGACCATCACTCACCCACACCAGATGGAAAACTCTACAGACTGTCGGTTCACACCCCATCACAAGCTAGCAAAACATCCACGAAACAAAGAAAGGTCTGTCACAGCCAAAAAATACACTCCAGACACGCCGCTGGCACTAGAGTTACAGCATGGCCGCCTAGTAACGGCCTCGATATTTATATATATATATATATATATATATATAGTTTGTCACAGCCCCTCGTTTGTTGTCCTCTTCTCTCTCTACCTACGGTTTTACCGGGCAGTTCTGTTTGTGACGATATATATATATATATATATATATCGTCACAATATATAGTCACTAACAGAACTGCTCGGTAAACCGTACACAGTGAGGGAGAACAAGACAACAGAACATCAAGTGCGACAAACTGATTCGTCGGACTTTCATATATATATATGCATATGGTGATAGTCTACTTGGATATATATATATGCATATGACAAACAGATGCAGTAACGGGTGGGGAGATATCGAAATTCCCCCCACTCGGTCTACCAAAAGATCCTTCAATGAATTGTTCGGTGGGCCGTAAAAGGATAAACCAATCAATGCATCAACCAAACAATCAATCAATCAACCAATCAATCAATCAATCAATCGGTAAGACAGTGACACCCTCACGAAGCAATCATTCAATCAATTAGTCAATTGATCACTCAATCAAACAATCAAACAATGAGTGTGACAATGTGACGAAGTGACAATTGACCAAACAATGATATTGTCTATCGAACGATAAAACAATTGACGTTCACAATGAACTCAGATATTGGATAGTCGTAAAAAAAAAAAAAAAAAAACTGCTATGACATGTGAAGTGACGGCGTTTATAGACGGGAAAGTGAGCAACCGACCTATCTGTATATAGAGAGAGAGATGGATAATAGTCCTGGAATGCTAGAGATGGTAGAGAGAGAGAGAGAGAGAGAGAGAGAGAGAGAGAGAGAGAGAGAGAGAGAGAGAGAGAGAGAGAGAGACGAGCGATACAAGTCCTTCCGAAAGAAAAAAAAGAAAAAAAAACAGCACTCATGCTCGGTGCAACAGCTGCGCACACACACACACACACACACACACACACACACACACACACACACACACACACACACACACACACATCGCCAATTGCGTTGTCTCCACGAACATGGCGGCGGCGCACCATGAACATCCACATGATGGGCCACGTGTCTGATCAAGGCAGCCCTGACCCTCGCGCCGAGGTCGGAGCCGTAAGTCGGATCAATCTCCGGCACGACTTTGATGTTCAGATCAGGAAGGTGACGTGGAAATCGGCGGTTGAGGCGCCGGCTCCGGTTCGCTACTGTCGCTACTGTCGCTACTGTGGTTCAACATCTCCGGGTCGATCTCCACCCTGTGCTCAATCATGAGGTTGTGTAGTATGCACACAGCCATGAATTCCTTGCGCAGCGTCTCCAAATTCGCGATGTGAGTGCGGATGAAATTCCTCCACACGGTCTTCAAAAGTCCGAATGTCCGCTCTATACAGGATCTCACTGCCGAGTGACATCCGTCGTAAGTGCGATCTGCATCAGTTCTGGCGAATCTTCCCATAGGTGTCATGATCCACGGGAGAATGGGGTAACCGACATCTCCAAGCAGGTAACGACCCACGTGTGTCCCGTCGTGCAGGATAGCTCCACCTTCGCATAACACACCTCTGCCTGCCATGGTGTTGTGGTACAACGGTGACATACGCAACACACGAGAGTCGTGCACGGAAACTGGGCAACCGACATACACGATGACAATTCTGCACTCGCTATCACACACCACCTGGGCGACGACAGAGAAGTCTCCAGTGTGATGATAGTAGCACTCTGACCGCGTGCTCTTCAGCTTGTCAATGTACACGTGTGTGCAGTCGATGGCCCCCACACATCCAGGAAACCCCTTCGCCTCGAAAGCGTTCTGGACCTCTTCCAAACGCCTTCCTGTGGGGAATTGGAGCAGGCGTCCGTACTCGTGGAGGATAGCATCTGCGACATCCTCGTTGCTTCTCAGCGCACTGGCAAGGGCCATACCCAAACTGTGGGACGATTGCCGGTAGTACCCGCCCGTCGCCCATCGGATCAGTGCGCAAGCGAACTTTTGTCCGGCCGGTAGAGGCGACCGGAAGTTGGTAGGTGAGCGCTGGATATGGGGGGTGATGCGCTGGAGAACTTGCAAAAACAGAGGTCTTGGTAATCTGCAGAACCGCACGAACACCTTGTCGTGCTCCGCACCCACTCTTTGCAGGTCCTTCCACAGACCTCCGCTGCGCTCCAGCATCCACACCCGCCTTCTCCGACAGTTCATGTGTCTTCCCAACTCCTGTCTTGCAAAGAAGCTCAAGGCCATGCCGTGAACCACCCCCCCTGCAAGCATCGTCAGCGCCCCCGACACATCCCGGAACATGAACGGGGTGATGGCGACTGCTTCAAGAATGGCCATGGTCGCAGCGTTGCGCCTATTCACCCAGTGGGTCATGAGGAGAACGAACATGAACATCATGTCCTCCCACTACTCATTCGGAGTAGGCACATCCGATGGAGACATGGCCACAATGTCACTGTTTTGCACACAGCGTCGGCCCTTGCACACCACCTTTGCGGAACGCGTGACGATAGCAACACCTTCCGCAACCCCTATTCCTCGGCAACCCCTCCACCACATTCGTCGGCTATGGCTTCCCGTCAGTGTTCCGTGCATGCACGCTCGCTCTGGAAGGACCGCGTCGGGGAACAGAGTTCTCCAACGGCCACTAGGGGGGCGGGCGAGTGTTTGGGGGCGATGGAGTGGGACACCCGCCGATATTTCCAACGGTAATTTCCGGCCACGGAGGGCCCCGGCGGCGTGCGGACCAGGCCACCCTGTTGTGATGTATGCGGTACCTATGCGGCGTGTGCCACACGCCGTCGCGCACGGCCACACACGGACATGTCCTGGTGCATGCCGACAGAAGGGCCTGGACCACATCCCCGGGCCTGCTTGCCTTTTCGGGAAACTCCCTGGCCGTATTTCCTAATCGGGCATGGAAAAGAGTTTCCAGTCCCGAAAGTCCAGGGCTGCGGTGGGGTCCCAACAAAACGCGGAAACTTCTTTCCAAACACGGTCGGCCGATTTTTGTGGCCAAAGTTTTTCCACGCCGCCGGGCAGTGGGATCCAAGCCTTAACCAATACAGCGTGAATTCCAGAAGAGGGTCGGAATAAGTTCTGAG